ATGCTGTTATTGCATCTGGGAGGTGGGTAGGCCATGCCATTTCTTGACTCACCTGGGGTGGTGGGGTAGTACAGTGGTTAAAGTGTTCCATCACTCCAAAGACCCGGGTTCTGTTCCCAACATAGGTACAAAGGGTAAAACCCATATTTATGATCTACAGATCGTGTACTCGAATCTAAGATGAGTCCCGGGGTATGGTCGTTTCATGTTGTGATTTACCTGTGAGTGAGTGAGTGATTGACAAAGCGTCACATCTAAATCCGGCCCAACGTTGGAGCCGTCCAGGAGTATTTTTGACACTTTATCTTTGCCAGGTGTCTCGGGACTGTCATGTGAGTCTTTAGACAGAAGGTTTAAGGTGTCCTCGTCAAAAGAATACCTCGTGATTAGAACACACACTGCGACTAAAACGTAGGCAAGGAGAGTACCTGGAGATCAGAACAAATATACATACAGAAAAGTTTAACTGAGTGAGTAAGTTTAGTTTTACGCCGCAATATTCCAGCAATATCACGGCGGACTCCAGAAATGGGCTTCACACTTGGGTACCCATGTGGGGAATCGAACCTGGGTCTTCATCATGACGAGACCACGCTATGACCACTGGACTTCCCCAACGTCCCCGTTTACCTTTGATGTCACCTGTGTAAGTTTCATAAGTTTTACGCACATGAATCTATATGTGCCATGGCTGTGTGATAGGTTTACCGTGCAGCAACGGGTGATAGTGATGTCGTCAAACTCTTCATAGTAAATTCTCATAAAGTGACAGTAAACTATATCACATTTTGAGAGTTCGCAAACAATAAACCCAAGTGGCCCTCCGCCAATGGACGACACGACAGATGTAATAATGTAATGTGTTGTGCCTTCCACGCAAAGCAGCTTGAATGACATCGAACAATAAAGTTAAATAATGTGAATATTAGGTAGTGGTATTAATATTAGTAGTGGTAGTAGTACGGGTGGTACTATCAGAAGATACTATCGCAGTAAACACTGTGAAAATGTGTCTAGAACTTTACACAATGTCATCCATTCTCCCATATTTTTTACATGCTCAGTATGTGAACACGTTAAGGGTAGTTAAATAGCAAACTGTAAGAAAGATCTGTATACCCCACTCGACATTCAGTACAGGTGAAAAGGGGGCTCATTCTTTACTGATTCAACTTTTAAAGGGGCTGGGTGGTAGTGTAATATAAAACAACAACTGAATATCTGCCTTAGTAATCAGACATACTTCCATTGTCTAATTCCGTTTCCTGGATGACTGACTGACTGAGTTTGGTTTTACGCCGCTTTTAGCAATATTCCAGCAATATCACGGCGGGGGACACCAGAAATGGGCTTCACTCATTGTACCCATGTGGGGATTCGAACCCGGGTCTGCGGCGTGACGAGCCAACGCTTTAACCACTAGACTACCCCACGTTTCCTGGGTGAGAGAAACGATGTTAGTAATAAAGAAACAACACATTTGAAACCCCTTTTTTTCGAACGGATAACTGTGCCTTTTGATTTGCTGTCATTCATGCCTCCACCTGTGTTTCGGAGACCGGTGTCGTCACACATGTAATAAACCAGCATCAGGTCGGTAGGTTTATTGCTTAACGCCGCACTCAGCAACATTCCAAAAATACCTGGCGCATACAAGCCAACATCATGAGTATCGATCAAGGCAAATGGGAACCGATGACATGTGTCAACAAGACAGCAAACCTGACCACCCGATCCCGTTAGTCGCCTCTTAATTACATAAGCCGTCATTAACTTAGCTATGTTTAGTTATACTTTTTATGTTAATATTGTACCAAGATTGTTGTAAACTCTGGTGGTAATTGTGTTTTGCAAGTGCCCGTAAATCTGATTTTCACATCCAAGTTTGCTGCATATTATTCAATCAATTAATGCCTTATTTACGCTATTTAATAAAATTAGTTATTATAAAAATGCTGAGATTATACAAGAAATTTTCTTGTAAAGATTTCAAATTATTTTAAACTTCAAACATATTTGAATTGTAAGTATTCTTAGAATTGGCATCAAACAATAATGGTAAGTAATGGAAAATTAATAGAAAACTCGTTCCCCACACGTCGCCACTTGATGACATTAAACCCTGACGTGAAATGTAACTGGTACTCTCACATCGTGACTTGACATTAAACAATTATTAAATTATTAAACAGTTCTCCCAGGAATTTGCATGGGTAGTTATTTTTCGCGTAAACATCAAATATTTACTTAGCCACAATATAAAGATACATTTAGATTCTGTACACTGAGTACTTGTAAAACTTCAAAATGTCTTACATGATTTTTCTATGTTCAAGTCTATGATACTGTTATAGTTAATTATAGTTAGAAGAACATGGCGCCATAAAACTGTTCAGTTTGTTCCATGTTTGTTTATTGTGTAACGCAATATTGGCGGTGGTCTGTAAATAATCGTGATGGACATCAGTGATTGACATCATGAGCATCGATGATATGTGTCAAACAAGTCAGCGAGCCTGACCACTTGATCCCGTTTGTCGCCTTTTACGACAAGCCTGGGTTGCTGAGGATCAATTCTAACCTGGATCTTCACGGTTTTAAAACTGTTTGGAGCATACTAGACATATTGTTATTGATATCAACTTCTTCATTGTTTGTGACGATGTTCTAAACTTAGGACACGTATTTCCTCCTGAGAGAGTACGTAAGTCCCAAAACTTAAATTTTAACTCACTCACTCACTAGGACACGTATTGCCGCTTAGTCAGTCATGACGCTTGATGAAAGGACAAATAACAGTAGGATGACAACTAACAAAGACCTTGATCTCCATGAACTATGTTCGTGCTGTAAATAATTTGCTTCAAACAGAATCGAAGTATGGATATACAATTCTCCTTTTGCTTTTCAGATTTGCCCGCCATGACCTAGATTCCAACAGTACCTGCGTCAGAACCACGTTTCGCTGATCATGGCGTATGTTAAGCCTTTCCTCCGTCGGGCGACAAGACGTCGTCCTATTGTTCAGGACGGAGGCGAAATTTCAAAATGCCACGACCAAGAAGATGGCCAACAAGGAGAAGGCTTCAAGAAATGCCTAACGACCTTTGACCTGGTTTCGCTCGGCGTAGGGAGCTGCTGCGGAGCTGGGATGTATCTGACCGTGGGCCTTGTTGCCAATGGCGCGGGGATGGGGGGTGCCTTGTCTTTCGTCATCGCAGGATTCGGATCGTTGTTATCAGGTGGGTTGAGTCTACAATGTAGACAATGTAGTAACAATATACGCGCATGTTATCGTCAAACAAAGAATGCAACTTATACCATTGTCAGGAGGGCAGCTCCTGTCAACATTTGATTAATACCCACTTACGGAGGTCCACTGATAAGTTCTGAACTACACATAAGACTGGCGTCTTGATTGGGCACCCGTCTATGGTGTGTTAGCAAAACATACACAATGCTTTTGGCTTTTAAGTAAAAATCGAAACTCTTTTTTTAAAAGAATCACCCCAAAACAGCGGGTGTATACTTTCATTTGTACGTCAGTTTAGAATGAATTAAGTGGACATTGTCATCGTACTTCTACAGTCAAAGCGCGTTCCTCACGTTTGTCACATTTACACAGTCACTGACCGCTGCTTAATTCAACGGTTTACTCTACTGATGTCTTAGAATATACGACCAATGGTTGGTAGTTAAAATAGACCAGTGGTCTAGATGTAATTATTTTCCGTTTCGTCTATCCATCTGCCAGGGTATTAGGTGTTTCACTGATCTTTTAAGCCATTTGTAAATTTTTAACGTTGCTCTTAGCTTCCAGAAATGTTATTCATTGGAATGAAAATCTGACTTCTATTTATTTTCTCACTATTTTATAGTCGTTTTCGTTTATATATGCGGGATTTAGAGAGATGTCAGATCGCATATTAATTGCGACCTTAGAAAGTTAAAACAGGGTAATTTTTTATATGGTTTAATCCAGCAAAAAGCAAATTTCATTATGGTGACTGAAGTTTTGCGTCAGCGTTCAGACATGGAACTATTAACAGTTTATAGAACCGCCATAAGGGCCATTGGTATGATGACGTGAACAAATTCAAGTCAGTGCAGTTTCCGGTCACAGAGCGAACTAGTGGTACGTGACCAACCTAACGACCTAAAAACGTATGCTTTACTATCATTATTGCCACGTGGATATTATACATTTGTGTGTTTTTGTTCACAAGGACTGTGCTATGCAGAGTTAGCTGCCCTTTGTCCACGGACTTCCGGTTCTGCGTACATGTACAGCTACGTGACTGTTGGTGAGCTGGTTGCGTTCGTGATTGGCTGGGGACTCTTGGTGGAGTATGCTATAGGGACAGCAGCGAGCGCGGTGGCACTCAGCGCCGCCGTAGACACAATGAGCAACTACTCCTACGGAAAAGTGATGACAACGTACATGGGTGCATTTCTTGGTAAGTATTTAAAAATATTGTATCTCACAATTGAGTTCAATATTTGTTTTCGTTTCATGAGGTGTTAAACTGAAAAAATCCATGTTCACACTTTACATAAATTCGCTACACTCATGCACACCGGCGGTTTATGTTTTTACCTCAATAAACGCCTCATTACTTTTCAGTGCGTCAACAATAATAGCCTAAAATACTGCTAACGAAATAACCAAATTACACCCCCTCCACCCCCCACCCAAAAACATAGGAACAAAAACAAAACTAACAAACAAAATTAAAACAAAACAACAACCCCCCAAAAAAAAAAAAAATCAAAACAACAACCAAAAAAACCACAAAAAAACAAAAAAAACCTGCCAACATTACGTATGGACCACATCGTCAGCGCAATGCAACATAATTCCGTCCATCCGAATAAATAGCCTTTCTTTAGCCAATCAAATGTCTTGAAATCAATTGTAATACATTTGTATAGACTTTAACCATTCTCCAATGGTGTTTCAGGTCGACCTTACTTTGACGTGATCGCTGTACTCGTGTGTCTCACGTTAACCTTGGTGCTGACATCGGGTGTGAAGCTGTCAGCGACTTTTAACAACATCCTCAACCTCGTCAACTTCATCGTCTTTCTCATCTTCTGCGGCTGCTCCATCATCCTCATCCGACCGATGCTCATTGTGGACAATGGCTTTTTTTCCAACCGGAATATCTGGGGTGTGTAATTTTGTTTTGTTTGTTTGCTTGGTGTTTTACCCCGCACTCAGCAATATTCCGACTAAATGGCGCCGGACTTAAATAATCGAGTCTGGACCAGACAATCTAGTGATCAACATCATGAACCGATCTTTGGGAAATTGGGATAGGATGACATGTGTCAACCAAGCTAGCGAGCCTGACCACCCAATCCCCGACCGTCGCCTCTTACGACAAGCATGACTTGCGAAAGAACAGTTCTCATCGGGATATTCACGGGTCAGCGACTAAATGGATCGGATATAGACTAACGCTTAATCTCTGATCTGATAGAAACCCGGGTTGTTGGAGACCAACTGTAACCCGGATCTTCACGGGATGTACATTTTGTCTGGTGCTGAGGGTAGCGTGCGGTAGGATGGAGGATTGGAGAACCAACGACCTTATGACCAGAGTTGTGTTCCCCATGGGTGTCAGTTAGTGAGTGAGTTTAGCTTTACGCCGCACTAAGCGATATTCCAGCTATATGGGATACTCGAGTCTGGACCAGACAATCCAGTGATCAACAGCATGAGCATCGACCTACGCACTTGTGATACGATGACATGTGTCAACCAAGTCAGCGAGCCTGACCACCCGATCCCGTTAGTCGCCTTCTACGACAAGTCATAGGTTGCTGAAGATCAATTCTAACCCGGATCTTCACGGGTTCTTATTGGTGTCAGGTAGTTTGGACGCTGCAGAAAATTTCATTTATTCTGTTTGTATCGGGGGCGGTGGGGTAGCCTTGTCATTAAGGCTAAAACTAAAACTAAAACTCACCCACTCACTGTTTGTATCACGGCTTATCGCGGTGTTAGTTTTGTTGAAGGCAGCCAAAGGTGCCTACAGTCTTAGCCAAAAGCTTGAGATAAACGATCATGGTCTTGTGCTTACATACTGCAGGGGCGGTGGGTTAGCCTAGTGTTTAAAGCGTTCGCTTCACGCCAATGGCCCGGGTTCGATTCCCCACATGGGTTCAATGATTGAAGCCATTTCTGATATCCCCTTACATGGTATTGCTGGAATATTGCTAAAAGCGGCGTTAAACTAAACTCACTCACATACAGCAGATCGTGGCGGACTGAATCTGGTATTCGAACCTACGATCACCGGATCCTGTTGGGGATTAAGAATTGTGCTTCTATATTACACCATTCGTGCCACATGGAACGTCGTATACCAAGAAAGATACTCCACATTTTGTAGAACATACTTTTACGTGACACTTTTTATTCTTCTTCAGACCTTGTCCCAAATTCCTACAGCGTACTTCGCCTTTATCGGTTTCGACATCGTGGCGTCGACAGGGGAGGAGGCGATGAACCCAAGCAAATCCATCCCCCGGTCCATCTGGATCTCCGTCTTCATCAACACCATCGTATACGTAGCCGTTATAATCTTCCTCAACCTGGCCATACCTTTCTTTGCAATGACGTCAAACTCAGCCATGATAGACGTGTTCGCAACCAGGCAGTGGACGTACGTTACGTACATCATCTCCACGGGCGCGGTTTGTGCCTTGTTCGCCGCCACCTTCGGCTCCCTGTTCCCCCTTCCCAGGGTCCTCTACGCCATGGCAAAAGATGGCCTCATAAGCAGGTAAGTTGACCTAAAACATAAACTTATATATAACCCCACTCGTTACTCAACACGATTTCCAGGAGTGGTGGAGTAGCCTAGTGGGTAAAGCGTTTGCTCGTCACGCCGAAGACCCGGGTTTGATTTCCCACATGGGTACAATGTGTGAAGCCCATTTCTGGTGTCCCCCGCCGTGATATTGCTGGATTATTGCTAACAGCAGCGTAAAACCATACTCACTCACTCACTCAAAAGTAAAGTACAAGGTTAAACCTGATAAGAGTTGTGTCACCAATTTATGACGATACTTCTTTTCCCCTCCGACCTTGCTAGTATTTGACCGTCAAGTGACGTAAACAGCCACGGGGTTTGGGTTTGAGTTCAGAATTTATAAGTGTTTCTATTTGCAGTCGCCTTGTTGGAAAAGGAGATGAATGCGAGTAAATTTAGAACATATTTAGATTAAAAACCTTCTTGATAAATAACAACGTACAATGTACAATGTGTGAAGCCCATTTCTGGTGTCCCCCGCCGTGATATTGCTGGAATATTGGTAAGAGCGTTGTAAATCAAAACTCACTCACCCTTCGTAGACCGAACTGGTTCTGTACGTTCTCTCACAAGACACCAGTAGGTATTTTGATAAATAGGCATATTGTTTGAATTTTGTATAAAATTTGAGCAAAAGAAACAGCTAGGATTTCGACAGAAGTTTCCGTAAGTTATTTTTCACTCTCTAAACGTCTATTTTGAAAGGCAACGTCAATCTCGTAGTGCCATGGTAGACAGGTGAGAGGTATTCGATGACAGTATTAAGAGTTGTCCCCCTTGTGTTTACCCTGGTGCTCGTCGTTCCCAAATGAGAAGTTGATGAAAATCGCCTTTCACTTTTCCTCACATTCTGATCTGAGACTGAAGTACCAGTAAAATCAGCTATAAGCACGAAACATTCGACTACAATGTGGATAAACGTTGTTTAAGAGGTAAAAACGATGTTTTTTCAACCATCTGATCAACATTACTCATGCTTTCTTGTTTGAAAATAAAGGGATACGATTTGAAAGTGACTTTGGAAATGCATTTACATTCTAACTGACATAGATCTGAGTGTGTGTAAATCAATGAATTTGTGAAAATGTACAGATTATACGCCACATCGATCAATTTTGAACCGACTTCGCGCTTTGGTGTTCAAGGGAGATAACGTATTGAGATAATTGAACGCAAATTGTCTTTCTCTCTTGCTTCTGCTGCAGTCTGTTAGCTTTTCATTGTATAGACTCTGTCCATCTGAGAAAGGCTATCTTAGACGTCCCTTATTGTATACCCCAATTTGATGAGTGGATTTGAAATACAGATCAAAACGTCGTTAACTACAGCTCGCGTATTTACTTTGAGCATGTCTAATATTCTTTAGGGCAGTGGAGTAGCCAAGTGGTTAAAGCGTCCGCTCGTCACGCTGAGGACCCGGGTTCAATTATCCACATGGGTACAATGTGTGAAGCCCATTTCTGGTGTCCCCGACGTCGTATTGTTGAAAAGTGACGTAAAACCATACTCACTCACTTATATCACTTATATTCTTTACATCTGCAGCCATTTTGGATACCTTTGTCCGACACGGAAGACCCCGAAGTTGGCGACAGCTGTGTCGGGGTGTATTGCAGCCGTGGTCGCAGCCTCTGTGGAACTCCGCCTTCTCATTGAGGTGGTCCTGATAGGTAAGTGTCCACAATACCTCATGATCGGCACATAGAATGAAAACCGAGACCCTCAATATGTTCCTTTATTCTCTGTTACAATATGGGACACGTGAGCCCTTGACCGCCACCGTGGTGTAGTGGTTAGAGCGTCCGCCCGGAGAGCGGAAGGTCGCGGGTTCGATCCCCGACCGCGTCATACCAAAAGACGTATAAATATGGTACTTGTTGGTCCCTGTCTGGCGCTCGGCATTAATGGGTACAACAAGGACTGGTCGGCTCGGAGACAGTATAATGTGTCTGAGTGGGGTATTCATGCTTCACTGCGGCATGGTACCTCAGTGGGCTAGCACTATAAAACCAGCTTCAGTCTGGGCTAGTACAAGCAGCCGCACATACACATACACACGCATGCACGTCGTCATATGAGCGAAATATTCTCAAGCACGACGTTAAACCCAATTTCATCTCACCTCACGTGAGCCCTTGACTGCTAAGGCGGAGTTGCGTCCCTTGAGCACGCCTGATACCTGTGATCCTGGGTTTGAATCCCGGTTCATCCCATAATGTTTCTAGGTTTGTCAGCATCAGACCTTAAAAATCTCAGCCCAGTCACTTTATGTACACTGCCCGTGAAGATCCGGGTTGGAGTTGGTCTTCAGTAACCCATGCTTGTCGTAAAAGGTGACTAACGGGATCGGGTGACCAGACTCGCTGACGTTGTTGACACATGTCATCGTGTCCCAGTTGTGAAGATCGATGCTCATGCTGTCAATCACTGGACGGTCTGGGTCAGGCCGCCGTCATATAGCTGGAATATTACTGAATGCAGTGTTAAATATTGAACACAAAATGTAAACTCGTTGCGTTGTGATTTCATAAACAATCACTGGTCTTTAAGTTTATTGGTATCCTCGATTATCGAATATGTTGGTCTCCAGTACTCGGGTAAACTATACTGTATATATATTTGTTCTGTTCTCCAGGTACTCTCCTTGCCTACGTTTTAGTCGCAGTGTGTGTTCTAATCACGAGGTATTCTTTTGACGAGGACACCTTAAACCTTCCGTCCAAAGACTCACATGACAGTCCCGAGACAACTGGCAAAGATAAGGTGTCAGAAATACTCCTGAACGGCTCCAAAGTTGGGCCGGATTTAGATGTGACGCTGTCCAAGAAACTTTGGAAACTGTTCAGCCGCGCCCCCACCCCCGGGGAAACTCTGACCAGCGGGGAACTTGCTGTGATATTAGTGATAATGCTGGGTGCAGAGACATTAGCTAGCCTCGTTCTGGTCACATTCGGTGACGCCATTTTAAAAGGGAATATATTTGTATGCACGTGCCTGTCGCCTTTCATTCTCGTCGTCCTGATTGTGATAGTGATTTTGTGTCGTCTGCCGCAAAACACGTGAGTATTTTGACCTTTTCCTCTAAGGTCACAAATTCGAGATAATTTTACTTTGTGGTAAAAAAAATATTTTTCTGATTTTTACTTTGAAATTATCAATACACAATGCCATTTACAAAGTGGTAAGCTGTAACACGTGTTGTATTTGGGATTACACTTTCTTTGTAAAGTACAGATTCTAGTACTTTTGTTTGGTTGAGTCCCATCCGCGATTCGAACCCACACCCTCAGAGTCAGGCACCTAATCGCCAGCACACAAAGTCAGCCACCTAACCAGCTCAGCCACCGCAGCTTCCACATTCCTTGAAATTATTGTTTGAAACGACTCACCCAAATATTTAGCTGTCAGAATTATAACGTTTATCGCCCTTACTGACCAGGAACTCTGATTGCCAAAATCCCCCGAACAACATGTTTGAAATCTGTTTTACCTGGAAAAAAAATTTCCTCCACCTTTTAGTGTGAAATGTTAATTTAATATACTGAACGAAATATCCCAGCAGGGTGTATAGATACAGACATGTTATAATATCAAGATAATACACTCAAGTAACATCGTCCAAAACAGTATATATCAGGAAATCTGAACAGAGTTATGTCCCTTAATCGTGTCACTATGATCTGCATTGATTATGGCCCAACGTAAAACAACTCCTACGTGTATGTGTAATTCTCAGGAAGGACGGACAGATCAGTGAAAAAGTTAAATGATGCATGTATGAAATGTAAGCAAGTTCAGTGAGGAAATGAAAATGGTTATTGCAGTACAGTATATGATTTATTTCTCCAGTCGAACTTCCGGTTTCCGCGTGCCTCTGGTTCCACTGCTTCCGGTTGCCGTCACATTCTTCAATGTCTACCTGATGATGTCATTACGATGGGTCACCTGGTGCATATTTGGTGTGTGGATGATCATAGGTAAGTTGGGAGCATCAAAACATACCATGAAAAAAGAAACACTTTGTTTTCAACTTAATTTTCATTGCCTTTTATAAAGAAGAAATCGGGGATGAATTTGACCAATCGTGATACAGCTGCTGACTCACTCTCTCAACTCACTCACCCATGGCCACTCACCGACTCACCCACGCAGCCAATTACATACCGGCTCACCCACCCACTCACTTTAATGTTTAATGTTCCATGCATGCACGTGAAGCTCTCTTTGTTTAGATGGAGGCCAGTGCCCCCAAGTGTGTATTTTATTACCTGATCTGTTTACACAATTTTAGCACCTCACCACCTACCCCACGGGCGAACACCTTTACATGGTAAAATATTCAAAAACTAGTTACACCAGGATATCCCACGGATAGACCCCACAGGGAACTTCCGTGTATAATTTTCCCGACAAAACACTCCTACGTTGTAAACCACGAGTCGATAAAAGATCAAAGTTGAAAGATGCGTAGGGTAGTCTAGTGCTGTAAGTGTCCGGGAAGATCCTGGTCTTCAGTAACCCATGCTTGTCGTAAGAGGCGATTTACGGTATCGTGGTCAGGCTCACTGGTTGACACATGTCATCGTATCCCAACTGCGTAGATCGATGCTAATGCTCTTTATAACTGGATTGTCTGGTCCAAACTCGACTATTTACAAACCGCCGTCATATAGCTGGAACATTGCCGACTGCGGCAAAGAAATCAAACCAAAAAGTGGTTAAAGCCTTCGCTCCTCGCGCCGAAAGCCCGGGTTTGATTCCCGACATGGGTACAATTTGTGTGCCCATTTCTGGTGTCCCCGCGCTGACATTGCTGGAATATTGCTAAAAGCGGCGTGAAACTAAACTCACTCACTCAGAGTTAAAGGGAGACATGTTCTTATACTGGCTTATTGTCTAGACTTTGCAAGTAATATCCCCTATGAAACTGATGAGGGTCATCATTGATGTTAGGTTGGTGTAAATTGTGTTGTCTACTTCCGCAGACAACCGAAATATGTCAGCACATCGCGATTCAAACTTGTCACAGAAACTACAGATGGTGTTGGCCTAATATGTCATTTCCTCGGCGTTTTTTCTGGAGTCGATGGAGACTGACTTTGGGTAGTGAGTGAGTGTGTGAATGAGAATGGTTTTTGGCGACTTTTATGCACCTTCCATTGAATATAACGACGAGTGACACCAAGGTCACAGGGACGTAGCGCTAAATACTAGCATCAAGGGCAGTAGTCAATTACGGGGTATTAGCACTATTTTAAAGACTAAGTACGTATATACCTTGGTGCTAGTATTTTGCATTACAAGCCCCTGTGACCAGGGTTTCACACTCTTATGCAGTTATATGTAATCTGAAGGGGTCCTTTGCACCAGGGCTCATATTGTCAATAGGGCCCGTAAGTAGATCACGTAAGTAGAACACAGCCTTTCGCGAGACCTTGTACTTCCGGTGACAACGTTTCATACCTTTTCGAATGGTCTCATGGTACCGATCTAACCATCCCCACTGTCAACAGCTGTGACAGTCACGCATGGTTGTACACTTGGTCCGATCTAGTAAAGTCTATTGGCGGTGGCGCAATTTGGAACCAGAACTGAACTTAAATATACCCTTGTCACCGGAAATCTGGTCAAGTTAGCTGGGCCCCGTCTCGCATATCGCAAACTGGCTTGCGCAAAGGGAGCGGAGAACCAGCTTAGTACCAGAAGTAGCGTCTCGCGAGACTTACGGGCCCAATAGCGGGGTATAAGCACTATATAAAAGGCCCTGTCAGTGACAGTATTTACCTTGATGCCAGTTGTCTTTTGTTGTTACATGTCCCCGGTTTCACACACTGTAATGTTGGCATATAACCTGCATGGGTTCCACTGAGATGCACGGTGTTTGTTTCAGGCTTTCTTGTGTACCTGTATTACTCCCAGCGAGATGGAGCATCACCGGTCTCATCTACAGATGAAGATAAGCGCCCCCTACTGGAAGCCAAAGACACCAACCAAGATGGCGATTAATGAGGGTCATGTGCACAAATTAATAGCGCCATAGTAACGAATGCCTTCAAGATGAATGTTACATGGCTTCAATACCAAGTCAGTGTGGTAAACGTCATCGTGAATACACATGAAGGAAAATGTGTGAAAATATCCAATTTCTGGACATTTAATGTTTTCAAATTTCTTAAAAAATATGTGATAAAATTATGCAAATTTGGACTGTCACAGCTCTAAAGATCCTCATTTGACCTTTTTGTGCAAGTGGAGACAAATATACTGGACAAAAACAGTTAGGGATATATGTAAATTTTGAAATTATGAATAATGATCTATATATTCATTGACAATCTGATAAAATATCAATCATAAAAATACCAATGTCCCTTACTTATTTTGTCCAGTATATGTTAAGAAATGCGAGGGAGAAGGGTGTAGAGGGGCGGGGTGTGGGGGCGATATAGGGGTGTAAGTTAAAACGGTCTTGTCTCATTATTCAGGTCATTCGTGACCAACTCGTGTTATTCCGGGACAAGCCGATTGCAGGTTACGGAAAGGGGCGAGTGGTGACGAATGTATTCACAAACTGTTACAGCTTTTGCAATATCTTTGGAGTAATTGCCTGTCCAGCGAAACCCTACCTCCACGCAGCCTACCAAACGTCTGTGTTCAATGAAGGAGGCGAGTCGACAGAATACTGCGTTTTCTTCGCTTTGCATTATTTCCACGTAGAGCACGTGCATATTACACAACACAGCTACGCGCGTCATAAAAACTGATTGACTTGTCAGTGTGCCGTCTTTGGAAAATATAACTGTGGCGCACGATTGGCACTTTCTTTAAAAGGTAAAGAATATTATTTGCTATGATGTACTATATCAGGCAACAAACGTTTATTGAACACTGACAGCGCGACTGTCAGGTGAATTAAATAAATCATTAAACACAAATACGCCTCTGAAAACTGAGGATGAGTTGTATCGGGATCTGTGATACGTGATTACTTCTTTCATACTTTAGTAGGTCCAATAATGCCTTGATAAAAAATATACTGTGAGACATGTTGTTAGTGAAATCTCGCAAATTGTTATATTTTGAATTTATACTACATGTTTTTAATCGCCACGTCATCACATGAGCTTCCTTATGTCTGCAATCTGTGTATTATACTGTTTATCACTCTGTATAGAGTTACTGTGATACGGATGTGTTGGCTTGGACCGAGGGAAAGTGATGTATAAAGGGAGGTAATCATGCATGTCTTAACACACGGGTTGTTTAAGAAATAGAATCTCGCAGTTTGTATGCACTTACTTGAGGTATATTGATTTATTTCAACAGAAAACATATTCATGTTTGAAGAAACTAACATTGGTTAATATATATTTTATTTTGTTTCTGTGGTCTATTTTTCATGACTTATTTGCTGGAAAATGTCAAGTGATTTCTTGAGATATTTGAGGGACAATCGGCACATCTAATACGTGATTATCTAGTCTCAGATTATTAATGCATTAGTTCATTATCAGAGTTCAAATGGGACTTCCAGATAAGCAATAGACAGCATACTTATGTTTCTTGTGTCGTACTCTGCCCATTGGTGCACTTTAGAAAATGTTTTGTATATTGTATTGTACTTTATTGTAACTTTTTGAGCAAGTTCTAGTTTATTTGCGTGTCTTGGAACGTATATTTTTTGTAGAAATAATAAGCCCCCAAATAAGGATAATCAGAAATCCATGCATATAGTGAAAAGATCTTGACGTCGTGTTTTAACATTTTAAAAGAATTTCGCCTTCAAATCATTTTGATATTTTAACTTAAATAGCCCACGAACAAAGGAGATATGCCAGAGAACGTTTGATAGGGACGTACAGTTATATCGGGTATATTTAAATATATACATGTGAGACCGCCGCCATATAGCTGGAATATTGCTGAGTGCGGCGTAAAACTAAACTCACTCACTCACTCATATACATGTGATAATATTATATCATGTGAATCAGTTTTGTGTATCACGGAGATATATCAAATATGAACACTAGAGTGATATATATGTACTGTGACACTGTGGAGTGCTGGAGCATGTGCCATGGAAGTGCCTTGTGCCGTACGTGTAATTGTGGGTGGGCGTCGCGTGTGTGATATTCTGAGGTAATGTTAGAGTGTTGATGTTGCGATTTGCTGACAAATGTACGTTTGGGGTAAGGGGTGGGGGAGAGGAATACATCTCTAGAACCATGTTTTCGTTGGGTTAGAGAGGCGGTGGGTAGCCTAGTGGTTAAAGTGTTCGCTCGTCACACCGTAGACCCGGTTGGATTCCCCACATGGGTACAATATGTGAAGCCCATTTCTGGTGTCCACCGCCGTGATATTGCTGGAATATTGCAAAAAGCGGCGTAAAACCATACTCACTCACTGGTTAGGTTAGACCGGGTGGTTACGATACTTTGCGGTTTATTGGGTGTCTTCGTACTGTGTGTTCATGATGTCTCCCACAGGTTTTCCGTCCTAGACACGATTATTTTACAACCTAATTCATGTTTGCTTACAGTGGCCAATGATACTGGCATCGGTCGTACCAGCTGTTTAAAAACGACTGTTATAAATAGTTATCGGACCGTTCATTTAAATGTCGACCCTGTCCGTATTGAAGTGAGGAGATTTGAGGTGGGTGTTTAACAGTTTGACATGTTGTGGAAATTCTCTCAAACAACGTGACAGTTCTCCCTATTTGTGGTTCTTCATTTCAGAGACACACCTTTAGAATTCACCTGGATGGTTTAGTTTACTTCAAACACCGTTGTTGCCTGCATTCCCCCAGATTATCCTGCAATGTCGCAATTCAATACTGTTAAAAGCGCAGTTCAGGTTTTCTCACTCACTCTTTATAAGCATTGTGTCAACTATCTATCCGTCGCCAATCTTCTGCCAGGTTTTAAATGTCAGTGCCTGAAAATAACCAGTCTAGATTTACTTCCGAAACAGATTCCACTGGGCGTAAAAGGGATTCACTAGAATTCGCTGACACCGGTAAGGATGTCCTGGACCCAAGGTTGCACCAGCCACTAGCTCGCAAAGAAACGTGATTTAATTTATGTTTTGTTTGTTGTTTAAATTTTAAATTTATACTAGGCACAAAAAATAAGGGAACCCCCAAGTGGAATTTATAGTTGAAACAATTCTACATAAAAGTTGCAAGCTGACTGCATTCGAAACCAGATCGGAAATCACTTACGGCTGACACGACAGTCAGCACCATATTACCTTTACATGATACATGTGCATCATGCACCACACGTGCATTCTAGCCTATAAAGCTGACACTATCTCTTGTGACAATGCCACGTCGACAGTACCAGACAAACGCACAGAAATGGCAGGCCATTGGCATGATAGAGGGTGGACATTCTCAGAATAGTCTTGCCCGGTTCTTCAGGAAGTCCAAAAGCGTTATTTCCCGTCTCATCAACCTTTGCCGTCGAACAGGGGGCGTTAAATTAAGGACCTGTCGAGGATAACACCCTAAAACCGCCCCCAGACAAGACAACTTCCTGAGAACTAGAGCTCTGAGGAATCGATTTGTCACAGCTCCGGATTTGAAGATGGAATCCTTCAGAGCCACAGGAACACGGATTTCGAACTCTACTGTACGAAACAGGCTCCGTAGCAGAGGCCTTATGCCAAAACGTCCATTCAAAGGCGTGACGATGACAGCTAACCACAGACATCTTCGTAATCAGTGGGCTCAGCAACGTCAGAGGTGGGGGAACCGTCACTGGCGACATGTGATGTTTAGTGATGAATCCCGCTTTCGTTTGCGATTTACGGATGGACGATTGCGTGTGTGGCGACGCCAAGGAGCGCGTTATGTGAGACCCACAGTACAGGAACACGATTCTTAGGGGAGCAGCTCTATCATGGTCTGAGGAGGAATTTCTTTCAAAAGGAGGACTGATTTGATTCTTGTACGGGGTAATTTGACAGGCCAGCGGTATATGGACGAGATCTTACGGCCACATGTGGTTCCAATGGCTCACAGGGCAGGTCGAAGTTTTGTGTTTCAGGACGATAATGCAAGTCTTCACAGAGCTTGTGTTGCGCTGAACATCTTGCAACAACAAGGTGTTACAACTTTACCCTGGCCGGCTAAAACACCAGATCTATCCCCTATCAAACATCTGCGGGATGTGTTAGGGTGTCAAGTGCTTCTCAGGGAGCCTGCACCAGCAAATCTTGCTAGGTAGAGCACTGCAGCAAGAGTGGCACTTGATTCCAAGGGCGACAATTCAGCGGTTGGTGTCCAGCATGCCTGCAAGGTGTCGTGCATGTATTGCTGCTCATGGTGGACACACTCGTTATTAAGTATATCTGACATACTTACCGTACGGTTGTGCTGATTAAATTATGCATGCTTCACAAAAACAAGGGGTTCCTCTATTTTTTGTGCCTAGTATATATTCTGTCAGACTAAAGACGGTGAGCTACAGTACATTATTGCTGGTCAGATATTCCGTGCAGGGCATTCTTAACGCTACGACTGTCGTATCTCCTATACAGTAACGTACGCTTCCGACAGTCGTAGCGCTGCGATAGCTTTGTTAAACGGGACCCTGATTTTTAGGCTTGGTTTTGAATGGAAGCAGAAAGAGAAAATGTTAGGTATTTTATTGCCTTTGCACAACATATATATATTTTACCTCATATCAGTTTATATTTATCATATCAAAGCTTGTGTGTTCATCACACGTTCACCATCAACAGCGCCAAATTATGTTTTAATTAATCATGAATTAAGCTTTTGTAGCCTGTATTTCGATTTACGTGTTTAAATCGACTGGCGTTTTAAGAATCTCTGCTGAAGTTTTACATTTGTTATTAACTATTTAAAGTGCAAAGTGTTATTGTGTTGTTGTAAACATGTGATGGTTGTTGAGATATTTATTTATTGCGGGTTACATGTATCCTGGTTTGTTATGAAATACTAAAATAAATATTGGAAGTTAATATGTGTTTCCTTATATGTAGAGTAACGTCCCTCGTTTTGTCAGAACAATGTTAACGACACCAGTGTTAGTGGCTTTCAACAAAAATGGTATAAAAGATTACGAAATATTGCCCACAAATACTAATCACTTCTTTTGCTTTATTGATACCAAATGTATGACATAGAGCGGTTCTATTTTCAACGTGTATTTCGTATCTTCAGTCAAATTACAATACAATGTGTCACCGACTTACCGTATAATAGACGGATTTCAAGCAATTAATTTAATAATAATCGGATCGAAATTTTAAGCTTCAAAAGTCATACCTCAACGTGATGCTTAAAAAATCAGATCCAATTCCAAGTGCCACATATCACGTGAAACCTGACCTCTTTTGGACCCATGGTTAGATCATTCTGGTCGAAGGCGGCGGCCAGACAGATGGGTAGTCAGTGTTATTAATGGCTCATAATATCGATCACTGGATAGTCTTGGTCGAAATCGAATATTTTCAGCCGCTTTCATACAGCTGTGACAAATGTTTAGATAACACGCAGGGCGGTGGGGTGGCCAAGTGGTTAAAGCGTTCGCTCGTCACGCCAAAGGCTAGGGTTCGATTCCACGCATGGGCACAATGTGTGAAGCCCATTTCTGGTGTCCCCCACCGTGATATTGCTGGAATATTGCTAAAAGCGGCGTAAAACCATACTCACTCACTCTCTCATTATTAGAACTTTGTTCAGTTGTCTGTAATCGGATATGGCTGACAGCCTGGCCGTGGCCACGATATCTATGCTCATGCTGTTGATCACTGGATTGATCACATGGTTGACATGTGTTATCGTATCCCATTTGCGTTGATCGATGCTCATGCTGTTGGTCACTGGATTGTCTGGTCCTGACTCGATTATTTACAGACCGACCGGATTATTGCTGAGTGCGGCGTAAAAATATACTCACTCACTTGTTGCCGTGCCTGGCGCTGGATATAACTAGTACCTGCTCGGTCAGTGTCGGTATACTGTGTGTGGTATCTGCGCGTTAAACTGCAGCATTGTATCTTGCTGGACCTACGCCATAAACCCAGGACCTTGTACGAAGTCCCGACTAGTGCAAGCAAGTACAAACACGTGCATGAGCCTCTCTGTTCTGCAAGCACAGTAGTCTTGAACACCACGTTAAGTTATATTACCCAACCTAGGCCAAGCTCAATCTAAATTCTCTTGGCGAGGTCGGGTATCCGTAGCAGAGTGGTTAAAGTGTCCACTCGCCGGGCCGAAGACCCGGGTTTGATTCCCAACACGGGTTCTATCTGTGAAGCCTTTTCCCGATGTTTCCCGCCGCCATATTGCGTGAACATTTTGTGCAGTTGAGCCTTTTATTTATAAAAACGCTTACAACCTCCAATGTCTTCCAAACTGAGAGTTACAACTTTTTTTCCGGCGGCATGCCCACCTCGCATACGGGTAAAGAAAATGTAGTAGGTCTCCCTTTACCATGCTTAAACATATTTTGTACTTATTACCATATTTCATAATTTCAAAAGCGGGTAAAACCTCAATCACTCTCCCAAACCCACCCACTCACTCACTCACTCTTAGTTACCTGTAAAGTGCAACCTGTATAGCCTGTCGTTATTTTATTTTCTCTAAGTGCGGCAGAGATTTTGATAGCGAGATATTCAACGTAATTATGGCATATCCTCAAGGCACATGACATCGAACTTTGGAAACATCCGCTCAGACCCGGAGAGCCGAGGGGAAGGCGATATCTGCCCTCCATCTTGCTCCCTGAGGAAATGTTTCACCATCCCGAATGGAATATCGTCATCACTTCCAGATCTTCTGTCTGTCCTCCTTGGGGCTGTGTTATTCAAGTTTATCTTAATTGTGGGCTGTGAGACGACCAATCCCAAAGCAGTGATTACCATCAGCGTGTTTTTCTCTGTTGTAAACGTCTTAACTTAGATTATGGTGTTAGTTTTTCTTTGTGAATTTCGAAACAAGAATGTTATCTTGGATTATGTCTGAAGAATATTCTCCATGTGTGGGATATAGACTCGTAATAACAAAGAATAAAATGCCTCATGCTGTTGATCACTGGATTGCCTGGTCCAGACACGATTATTAACAGACCGCAGTTATTTACAGAACTGAAATATGGGGTTGGATCCCGCGACCAGCAATTGAAAAAGTGGTTGCAATATTCTGCTTGTATTTCTTTCAAGTTGATTGCAGATCTGTCATGCTAAATTGTTGTCCTTCGTGGTATAGTGGATAGCCCTCAGCGATAGTTCGATCCCGGGCCTAGTCAAACCGAAAGACATGACAAGATTTTATCATGTGTGCTACTCCTCTCTTTGAAAGAAAACGACTTGAAATCCTCACACTGTGCCTCAGTGAGACATCTATGTTAAACTGCAGAATGTCATTTCAGTGAACAAACACCATCAGCTGGGTTTCGCCCGAGCTAGTATGAGCAGTCACATGCACGGACGCTTGCACGCACGAGTGCGTGAGTTCAGTTTTATGCCGCTTTCGGCAATATTCCAGCAATATCACGGCGGGGGACAGGAGAAATGGGCTTCACACATTGTACCTATATGGGGAATAGAACCCGGGTCTTCGGCGCTTGCACGCACGACCGCACACGTGCGTGTATGCACAAAGCTGTATAAGTACAATAACCGTTAGCCCGCGACGGTAAACCCAGTTTATCATCGCCCCAGCCCAATTTTATGTGTAGCACAGTATTTGGTTCACCTACGGTTCGTGTAATAAGAAAGGCATGACTTTTGTTTTGTTGTTTTAAATGTTGTGCATGACTGATCAGCTGAATGTTCCCGGTAGAATTTTAATAAATAACCTTTTTTGTCGTTCGAACGTATGACCATGGTCATGTGGTGTCTGTGCGTCCTATTTACGAAACAAGAATAACATGCATGCACAACGCCTTAAGCCGAATTGTTACGGCATCCGGCGATATCTGGCGAGAAGTGCGGGATGTCTCAAAGGTGAAGCCTTGACCCACCATAATTCGGATGTAGATTTTCATACTTATCCTTCAAAATTGAGTCCTGGAACCTTCAGCATTATCGTGACAACAGGCGATATCTGCCGAGGATGGCGAAATGTCGTAATGACAAACATGACCTAACTTCAATCGGATGTACATTTTCGCTTGGAACTGTCCTAAATGAGTTTAAGAACCTTTCAGCATGACAGTCGTCATCAGAAAAACAAAACACGAAACGTGTTACGAGATGAGATCATAAAACTGGACTCAAGTTGAAAGATTCATATTTATCTAAGAAAAGATAAAATAGTCCTCGAAGGAAATAGCACCTAAAATACATGTCATATCTGTTCCCGGAGGCTGTTCACATAAATCTGATAGTTGTTATAAATGGTACATCATCCGTATAATATGTAGGCTATATCAGGAAATAAAAAAGCAATACAGAACCGAAGCGGATCTCGACTATGATGTAGACTAATTTCGTGAACATGATATTGTTCAAGGTGTCTCTAATTAAACATTTCAGTGAAACGTCATGAAATAATATCCCTGTTTCATTTTGAGTATCATTCTAGTTGAGTCTTGCTTGAAGACCATTGTTCGACTGTAGCTGCCTCTGTTTAGGATAATAATCCTATTTCGTTTTTGTATGACACAAATGTTTCATAGAATGTTGGGAACGGGTATTATGGTGAATCGTTGATTTTCCCGGATTTCACTCTTGAAGGAAAATGATGTCATGATGAGTATATAATAATATATTGTATATATCTACCCCAACGTTCAATCTCTTGCTGAAAATGGCAAACATCCACTGGACAAAGAGCTGTCAATCCTTAAGTTAACCAAACTTTGTTTGCAATTTTTATGAAGACATTTGGTGCCAGATCCTTCAAACACCCTGCTCCTGTGCTATGGAACTCTCTTCCCCTTCGCCTCAAATAAGCCCCTTCCTTGACTACCTTTAAATCTGGCATACAAACCCATCTGTTTAATAATCACTGACAATTGTTCATCTTTATATTTCTATGCGCTTAGGTTACGACCTGTGCGACGTCGAGTTCAGCGCCATTAAAGTGTCCCTAATATCATTAGCACATATATAAGTACTCAAATCGATCCGCTATAACAATTCTGAGCCAGGAAGGGTAAGGTATACGATTTTGTGATAATTCAGTATTCTTATGACGTAGGAATGACAACTTTCTTCCCAGTGTATTTGCTGCATTTGAGGGTGGGTCATATCATTATATATTCATTTTGATTCACAAGGTTAATCAGTCATCATGTTGACGATGAGATCCGCACTCTGTGTATTCAGTCGCGAGATGCAGCGTCTGAAGAAGGCAAACGAGGTGCCATTGATGATCTCATCAGATGTCAGTCCCTGCACGTGTCTCAAGATGGCGCCGTCAGCAGCCACGTGGTCAATTTCCGACATGCCGTCTTCAATATAAGTGGCCTCGACCATCATGAATGGGTAGTGGTCTGGAGACAACTTGTAGGCGACATCCCTTGCATGTAAAATGGTTTCGTCCACTCCGGGAGTCAGCTCCAACTTGACAAAGCCGCCATCGGGAAATGTGACGTCGAAGTCCAACGCACCGACGTTGATGTCGATATGTTTGATTGGTGAGTGAGGTCTCCTGTGATTTGAATCAGGGCCACCGATCACTGCATGAGAGCCGAAAGGAACCCTTTCCCTTTCTTGACCTTCGAGGGGAAGTGGTGCAAGCTGAACCCTGCCATCTTGATAAATGATGAAAACCTCGACTTTCTTCGATCCGGGTTCGAGAATGGGAGTAGCTTTCACTCGAATGTAGTCGAAAACTCGAGTATAGGAGGTGTTCGTGAACCAGCTGACGGTCATATAGGATGGGGAAAACCACCAGAAGTCGTACTTTACTCCCTCTATCGTATAGTATTCGTTGGACCAAATCTCGGTCAGTTTCTCACCCGCCTCCTCACGTTTGCGCATCTCAAAACTTTCGACCTTGACCC